TTTTTTTTGTTCCCCCCCCCCCCCCCTTTTTTTTTTTTTTAAGTTCAATGGAAAATGAGAATGGAAAAACTCATGAGGATTAGAGAACTAAAGTTTGTATTGGTTTTGTTTCCTGTTATGATTAATTGAAATGAATTTAAGTGTCTGCTTTTATCTGAACTTGATCTGTGGAACTAGTGAGTCCCGGTGGTAGATACTGTACATGGTGTCTCCACTGGGATGTTTCAGTAAGACTTTCAATAACCAAAGTGCTGTGTGAATTCATTAGGAGCTGCCTTCCGACTTGGTTTTGTAAGTTAAAATTTCCCAGGGATATGCGTTGCTAAAGCATGGCTTGATTTACCATCTTCAGTGTGCTACAGCATGTTACATTTTGCTTTTCTAAGTGACTTTCTGATTTTAAGCTGAGAACAGGTTAATATGCAGCAGTAGTCCTTGTCCATTTAAACACAATGATGAGTTTTTATCTCAACTGTTGATTGTTAGCATTCGTCACTGATGTTTAGGTTGAATACAATTTGTGGAAAGGTGATTCACCTTGCTCATCTCCTTTCTTCTCTGATCACACCTCTTTCATTAAATTATCCAGAATTTATTGGAAAAACTTTGTATTTGTCCTGTTTCCATTTTGCTGCTCTTGCCCTTGGTGTCTCTTTTGCTGGAATGAATAGCTAGGAGGATTTCCATTCCAGTGTCATCTTACTGAAAAGGGAATGAGAATGTAAACATATACTCTTCCCTGCTTGTGGAGAGGCTGAGTTTGGACAACAAGGAATCCCCAGGAACATGCTGAAGGGACCACAAGCCACACAGTAGGATTCTCACTCAACCCGGGGTTCTTAATTTATTTTAGAGGGCTGGGAAATGCAATGAGTACGGTGTCTTTATCAACTAGGAGTGTATGGGTAACCTTATTGTATGTCACATTAATATGTGCTTTCCTGAGGCATGGAATTCAGTACGAAAGGGTTTTCTCTACCTCGTAGACAAAGCCAGTGCTGATACAGTCTTTTCTGTTTACGTGACTTGTTTTATGAAAGCCACACTTGGAGATTTCCTCCTAAATTGCAAGCACTGAAGCTGCTGATGGAGAAAATGTGCATCATCGGAGAAGCAGGGAAAAATGCGTAACTTGCAGGAGAAAGTATATCTAAAAATGTTGGCAATTATATTTATCTCTTTCTGTGTCTTAAAGAATTGTGCATTGGCAAAAGACTATTTAACCTTTTTTCTTTTTTCCTCTACCAGGGTATGCTGCTAAAGCGAAGTGGCAAGTCATTGAATAAAGAGTGGAAGAAGAAATACGTGACGTTGTGTGACAACGGTGTGCTGACCTACCATCCTAGTTTACATGTAAGTACACTGTGCCCTCTGTGTGTTCAGCAACATCAGCCCCTGATAAAGCAGTGTTGGCGAGTTTGTCCTGATGTGTTTTTGTTGAGCCCTCTTTGGTCAAGAAACTCCTCTCTCTCTCTCTCTCTCTTCATTCCTCTCCCTCTCAAAAAGGCATAATTGGAAATAAAATTCCCAGGTGCAAGTGTATGAGTACAGTGAAGTTCCTTTGAATTCCCTGGAACAGGGGTTCCCTTGCATCCCAAGAGGCAGCTGAAATGGTTTAAGCTTTTCTTTTGGGGGGGTGCTTTTATGGAATTCTTGTTGATCCTAGAATTAAAAAGCAACAGAGATCTTATAAAAAAAGCGTCCTAGATGTAGTAAAGAATGAGGAAAGTTCCTGGTATTTGTCAGTGTGCAGTAGTTATGGTTTATTCAGAGGTAATTCTGAACAGCCTTTTGAAAATGGTATAGCTATTAAAATATGTGCCATGAAACTTTGTCATATTAAGGCATCGATTTTTGTCTCTGCCAAAGGATCTTGTCTGTCCTTCTCAGTGTGTGTAGCTCAATCCCTCGGTATGGTTTTGGGGGTAGAAGCACAGTGATCAGACCCAGAACTAGCCTACCCTATCTGCCCCAGCCATGCCAGCAGGAGGAAAGGTGAGACTTGTTGGAGCTCTTCAAAGGACAGAGCCAATATGGAGATCTTGAAACTCCAAGGTTATTCCCAGCTCTTTCGCTTGGTACAGGCAACAGTAAAATACAAAAAAACATGGTATGATCCTAACCAAGATCTTTGGAATCGTATCTGGTCTTACATTTTCTCATGATATCCCATATGAAAATCAGAGGGTGGCCAGTTGTAACATTTTAGGGCCAGTTGTTTCTAAATCTGTTGATGTCACTTTGAGCTCCTGGGCAAGTTTTCATTAAGGAGTGAAAAATCAAAGTTTCCATCAGATGCATTTCTGTAGATATATTCTGGGGCTTAAAGACCTGCACGTGGATCTGGCAGGAAACTTCTGCTTAAGATGGGTGATGTTGAAGGAGCATGGCCACACTCATGCTGTGCTTACATCAACTTGCTGTTCCCTGTCTGCTGAATATTTGCACTTTGTCTGGCTTGACACAAGATTTCATAGTCTCAGATCCTGCCATAATAATGCTTTGCTATAGTTTCTGATGTTACGACCCTATCTTTTAAAAATTATTTCGTAACTTAGATGACAACTAGCTTCAAGGCATTGCTGCTTTCCATCAGAAATCTTGTCCCTCAGCCCTTGTGTTCTGGAGCAAGGTTTTCACTGTTCCTTTTTGTGAAACTGTACAAGTCTATCTGTCTTCTTTGGCCGTTCTTAGTGCCTTTAGTTTGGGGAATTCTGCTGTGAAGTACTTCTGAAATACCTGAATTATATATTGGTATTGCTTATAGAAGGGAAGCATGGATCCCGCATGCCTTTCAGGCAGCCCCCATGGAGCTCCCACATGAGTTTCCCGCAGATTTTGTTGGCTAACTCTGGGTCATCAAGCAAGGAGGAGGCAAGCTGCCATTGTCCGCGCCCAAGTCCCTTCCTCGCTATGTGGAAGTGCTCTATTGTTCCTGGCCGTTTCTGTGCACGTATTAGTTTTTCATTGCCTGTTGCAGACAATAGATCACTCCTCCTCTGTAGGCTTCCCTGGAGCTGCTTAGTCTCCCCTAGAGTGAGAATCCATTGAGATTAGAGGTAATTACTTTGAGATTAGAGGTAAATCCATTGGAGATTAGAGAGAATCCATTTAAAGAAGAAGTAATTACTACCCTGTAATTGTTTCCCTCTATCCCCCACCGTGCCCCCCCACCCCCAAGAAAAAGGTACACGGCTCCTTATTTCCATTTGCTCAGACCTCCTTGCTTAGATCGGAGAGGTTTGTAACATACTTCTTTTCCCTCTATGTGGGTAGGTGGTGGTGAGAGACCATACTCAGCTCCCAGCTGATAAGAAGCTACTGGGAAAAATGTCATACTCATTCCCGGGCTTCTTGAGACACCTTTACTGAATCTGCTCTCTAGGAGTGTCTAGGGTTCTGCTCATTCGTGTTAAAATCTCACTATGATGTGATTTCTCTTACAAATTATGCTAGTTTAATGCCTTATTTCTATTGCCTTCAGCCTTCAAAGAATCACTGCACTACTTCTGCAGTACGTTTCCATACTGTCAATGGACTATTTATTGTCAATTAACCATTGTTAATACACCCTGCAGAGCATTCTTCATCCATCAGGCAATAGTATGTGAGTAGCATCTTCTCTGCCCTGTTGAAATCACAGTGAGAGAAAGAGGCAGGGCAAGATATTTTATGTCAACTGCACTCCCAGCATAGTTTGTGCATAACTTTGTAGGCAGGAAAGGAGTAAGTCAGAATTTCCTCTTGGGTATTGCCAAGTGAATGGGTTTTCCTCCACAGAGGATTCTGATAATGTGTTTCTGGTTTGGTTTTGCTAGTTTTTGTTTATCTGTAACTGCTTGTTGCTTTTTTCACAGCAAGCCAAAGAAACCAACGCATTTTTGATACTGTGTTTGCAGTGCTGTTCGGGATAATTTCTTACATTCCTTTGAAAAATAAGGACCTTATTCCTACCAACCGTCCCGTTAAATAGCATTGAAGAAAAGAACTTTTGTTAACCATCTAAATCAGTATCCTAAACTTGTAAAAAGCCTGGCTCTAATCTGACCTGTTAGTTAGATTTGGGTTATCTCAATTATGCAGGTCATTTTGGTTATACAAAATTTTTCAGTTGTAATTCTGTGAAGCGAAAGGTGGACTGGCCTCTAGTGGTGGCAAGAAGTAATGAATTTAGAAGATAATTTGGTCTTTCCAGATGGCGGTTTGGGTCGGAACACAACACTTGCATTGGAAGAACCTATTTAATATTTAATGGGTGATAGTAGTAAGCACTGTATTAAATGCTGCTTGAGATTTGGCAAGAAGTGTATCAGTTGTCTGTCAGACATGTTCGGTGACAGCTCAGACATGAAAGCAGTGTTTTTAATACAGAGAATGCGTCCGTATTGCAGAAATCAGTACTGTCATCCTCCTTGAAAAGGGTTGGCCACAAAATGAAAGGTTTTGGGGTGGGGAGTGAAAATCAAATTAGTACCTTTCTTACAAAGCAGGTAGCCCTGTAAGGGTCAGCACTATTTGGCAGGGCAGCATGTTGAAATGACTGCTGTATTGTCCCAGCTAAATGAGTAACTACTAATGCCACCAGGTTGACGTTTGACACAATAGCTAAATTCATATTCCTTCTTTTCAAGAAAGTGGGGGCAGAGAAAAATGGGGAAAGAAAAATATATGTACATAAGCACCCTACTGTTTTCTGACTTGGTCATGTCAGTTTTTTCAAGAGCCTCAAACCTTCCTGTCCCTTGGGATGCTGAGGAGCTATGCCAATAGAAAACGGTGGGGATAATGAGAGAGAACTTTGACCTGCAGGCTTCAAAGTTCACCATAGCTACCTATTCATCTTACGTTTCTGGAGTATAGCCGTTGAGTGGATGACTAAAATTCTGGCCGACAAATTCAATGTCAGCCTCCCCAAAGGGACCCAGGGGAATTTGTCTAGGCATCTCTTGGCTTTTAATGGCAGGATGCCATGTGCGAGGGCTCCCAAAATGTATTCACCAGGATACCTGCTGGGCAGCATTACATTCTGCTTCTTTATCTAAGCCTTGTCCTGATGAATAAGCGGTGATGTTTCACCACTGTCTGTCTGCCAGAGGGTTACCATCATGCCACAAGTCAGTAGATGACAAAGCTTTAGCTGTCAATGTCCATCGTCTGTTCTTGTACCCCCATCATCATCACTGCCCCTCATTCATGAAAAGAAGGAAAAAAAAGAGCTGAAAACAGCTTTTCAGGGAAGGGCACTTTTTTCTTCTTTTATATTTAACCTGTTCTAGATTTGATTTCAAATAAAAGCACAGTGCTGTGGCACGTTATGGGGGAAGAACAGCTTCTTAAATACATGATAAGGAAGGTCTGATGCCCATCTCAAACACACAAGGTTTGTAAATCCCATGTACCTACACAACAAGGTTGATTTTTGCTTGCTGAGGTCAGTATTGCAGCTCTTTAACCTTGCCTCCCATCCTCACTGATCTGGTTTGATAACCTGTGTTGAGGTATGTAGGATTGTAGCAGTGATTGAGGGAGGGGGAGCTTATTTTTATCTCCTTGAGAAGTGTGTGGATTCAGCTGGTTTGCTCAATTCATCTGACAGTAGCCACAGTTTCAAAACTCTTCCTTAAAAATAGTGCTGACTGGGTGAGCAGCCTGCGGGAGCTAGCTCAAAGGGAGCGTTAGCAATGTTGTTCTGTCCTCAAAAAAACTTTCTTTAAAAAAGTGCAAACTTTCAGCCTGGTAAGGAGTCATATCCAACACTAGGCTAAACTATGTGCAGGAGCATCAACGATCTATTATATGGACACACCATCTCTACAAAACAGGCCGAATTCACGGGCTTTATAGCTCTTCAAGACTTGGGATGGGGGACGGGGCTTTCAGTTGAGTTTTCTTGCTTGGCTGTTTCCTACAGGAAAAGCAGACTTGGTGAGAGATGGAGAGCTGTTGAAAATGCCCTGTATATTGGTATCTGGAAGTGTTGCAGATCCATGCATTTTTCTCAAGTCCCTTAATATGCAGCGTTTGCATTAGAGCTGCAGTTGAAATTTTTTACTGTAACTAGTTCTTACTATTTTCTGGAATAATTTGAAAATGGAAAGCCTGCTTGCACATAAAGTATTCTCTCTCTCTCCTCATTTTTAAGAGAACACCATGCTAGCTGGGCTCCGTGCTGTTTTTGTGCGTGGCCCGTCAGCAGCGAGGCTGTCTGGCAGCAGAGCTGGGTATTGCTCTAGCCAAGGGAGCAACGCTCCCCATCATGTTCGAGTAACTGCTTACAGACATCGTTTTGGTTCAGCCTTATTTTCAGGGTTGTGTTACCTCAGGCTGTTTAATAGCTCCAAAGTGTGTTGTTT